ATATTTTAATTTAATAAAAAAGTTAGTAATCAATTGATTTATAAATGTATTTTTTTTAAATTTTTATTTTTTTTAGAATCTTTTTAAATTTATATTTAAAGTTTTAGATTTAAATTTAAATTGATTATTCATTATCATTCTTATTAAATGAATTATTATTATTCTTTTTAATTAATAATAAATTATTCAAAAAGAACAATTTACCATTATTTTAATTGAATAATTTATTATTAATCAATTAGAATGATATATTATTATACTTTTAAATGATTTGTTATTATTTAAGAAGAATAATTTACTATCAAACAATTTATTATTATCTTTCTTGAATAATTGATTTATTACCATTCTTTTCAAATGATTTATTATTGTTTAATTAAAATATATATTATTATCTTCTTAAATATGTATTATTATTTAATAGTAAAAATGGTATAATAACTAGTTGCAACTATATAATGTTTATTTATCACCAGTTATAACTAGTTATATTTTAATTTTTGTTAATGCTACAGTCACTGGCAAAAGTAATGGCACTATAAGTACTGCTTATTTTTTGAGTCGTAGCATATTTATTTTTTACTCCAGAATTTTCTAGTATTTCTAGAGTATTCTTTATAAATAACATTTAATAAACAAATAAAAAAAAGTTGTAAAAAAAAATGAATTTCTTTATGTTTTTCTATTCAAAATGGCATTAACCACCCTTGAAAAAAACCGCAATGCTGTTAACCTTCTTTAGCAGAAAAAAATCCAAAATGCAAGAGAATTTCACAAAGAACAGGTATTCTCTTATGCTCCTATTATTGTTATGTTAGTTTATTAAAAAAAATTGGCAAGATTACTATAAGTTATTGGTCTAGTTGACCACAAAAATTGACTCTTAAAAAACGCTGCCAAATTGGAATGATCATCAAGCAAGTGAAATGAAGGCCAACTTAAAGAAAAAAATTTAGAGCTTGAAGTTAGTAAACAGACCATTCGTCGTGAGCTAAAAAATCTTAGATTTGTATCTGTTTGTCTCAGAAAGGTTCCTCTTTTGACACAGAAAGCAAAAGAGAATTAGTTATCTTAGGCCTGTAATCACGTGAATTATCATTAGAAAAAAATGGTATTTTTCGATAAAACTACACTTCAAATATTTTGTAATACTCTTTCTACATGATCACGTGACAAAAAACCATATTGCTTTGATGGTAAAACAACTATTTAAAGTTTATGTTTAGGATGCAATCAGCGTTAAGGAAAAAATTGGCATACACATGTTCACTAAAAATTTGGATCATCATATATACCACCAAATTTTGAATGAACATTTATATGATAACCGATGGGTCTTTCAGTATGATAATTACCCTAACCTGAAACATATTTCTCATGATGTTCAAGGTGATTTAAAAACTCACCTTTCGGGTTGAGTTCTTTCTTGGCTTTCCTATAGTCCTGATCTTAATTCTATTGAGAATGTTTGGACTATTTTAAAGAAAAATGTGGAGAAAGAGGTCAAGAGAATGGTGGCACAAAAGAAAAAAATTTCAAAAGAAATTTTTTTTTTAAATATAATTAGGAAGAAATGGGATGATATTGAAAATATTGCAATAGTTAACTGTATTAATAGTATGTCAAGTCACATTAAAGCATGTATTGACGCAGAAGGAGACCATACAAAATATTAATCAATTAATAAAACATATGTAATTTTGGTCTATCTTTCAGAAAATAAAAATTTTTTTTGATATTTTATTATAAAATTGTGCACATATTATTAAAAAACTGAGTGCCATTACTTTCGCCAGGGTCTGTACAACTAGTTGCAATATTGTAATACTTATTTATTATTGATTATAACTAATTGCAATACAATTTTTATAATTAAAAATAATTTATTATTTTTTTAATTAAAATGATATATTATTATTTTTTAATTTATTATTATTCTTCTTATAATTATTATCATTTTTTTTTAAATGATTTATTATCATTTCAATTAAATGATTTATTATTATTTAAGAAGAATAATTCACTATTATTTATATTAAATAATTTATTATTTTTCTAATTAATAATTCATTATAATTCTTCTTGAATAATTTATTATTATTTAATTAGATAATTAATATTATCATTTTTGAATAATATATTATTATTTAATAAGAACAATCAAAACTTTACTTTATTTCAATAAAAATAAATATTTTTAGATTTTTATTTAGAACTAGAAATTATCTTTTAATAAAAAACTTTTTAGATTTCTTTTAAAACTAAATCTAAATTAAATTAAATTTGGAATTTAATTGTTCTGTTAGATTCAAATTTAAATTAAATCTATAAAAATAAAAATTAAATCAGATTAAGTTTGTATAAAATTCAATCAGATCTAATTTGTGAAACATTAATTACAATTTGATTTTAATAATTAGTTATAATATTACGATATTTTTATTATAACTAATTAAAATAAATTAAAAAATACAATTAGTAAAATAAAATTTAAGTTAATAAATTTTGATTTAATAATTAAAAATAATAATAAATAATTTTATTTAATTATTATTTTTTAATTTAAATTAAAATATAAAATATAAAATAAGAAATAAATATTAATTTATAAAAATATTGATATAAAATATAAGTGATTATTTATTTTTAAATAAATTTTTTTGAAAAATATTTTTATTTAAATTAATAAATAAAAATGTTTATAAGTTAAGAAAAATTAATATTTATTAAAATATTATATATAAATTTTTTAATAATAATAAAAATTTAATTATATTATAAATATTATTAAAGGTATAACTAGATATTTTTATTTTTTAAAATTAATTTTAAATAATTTATAATAATAAATATTGAAAAATGATTTGTTTAAATACAATAAAATTTTATTGATTTTTTAAAAATAACTTATTTAGAATATAATAAATTACAAATAAATTATTTAATTTGTAATAATATTAATATTTTTTAATAAAAAAATTTTAAAATTAAAGGATAATTATATAATAATATTTAAATTTATTTAATTGTATTAGATTTTATAATAATCAATTAAAATATTAAAATAATATTATTTATAATTTTAGGATTAATGTTTTTAATATTTAAATAAAAATTGATTATTATAAATAAATTGATTAAAAACAAATTATTTTGATTAATAAAGTTAATTTAATCTTTTTATTATAGTAAAATTTATTAAACAGTATTAAATTTATTTTAATTATAAAATTTTTGATATAATATTAAAATAAAAATATTTATTATTTTAAATTTTTAAAAAAGAAATTATATTATATGGGACCTTTACAATAAAAAGGGAAGAAACTGCTAGAAAAAATCAATTTTACTTTTATATACTAAATATGATTTTTAAGTCAAAATATGTTTAGATTTAGTATTAACTTAATTTTTATTTTTTTTAGCTATTTCCTCCTTTTCTATTGCAAAGATCCTATATATTTATTATTTGAATTAATTAATATATTAAAAAAAAATATAAATCTTTTTAAGTTACATTATCATAATAATAAAATATTATAGATCATATTTCTAAAAAATTATTGAATCTATTAAATAATTTATTGGTAAACAAGTTATTTGAAATTAATTTTAGAAAATATAATTTATGATTAATGAAAGTTCAATTTTAATAAAAATACATTATATTTATTAGAAAATTGACTATTAATTGAGATTAATTTTATAATTAAAATCATATTAAAATTATACTGTATTTGAGTTTTTTGTTTATTAAAGGTTTATATTTAAATTTGAATATAAATCAGTTATTTTATTAGTAATTTATTGTTAGATACCAGCAAGTTTGAAATTTGTTTCTTGTAAGGCAATAATATATAAATAGTGAAAAGTGTATAAATTAAATAAAATTTGTTCTTTATAAGGTTGAGTAAATGAATATACATTGTGATAAATGATTTATTGTAATAAAATAACTTTATCTTAGTTAATATCAACAATGGTATTATAAGGATTAATATTGCCATACAAGGTAAATACAGAGAAGAGGTTTTGATTTTAAAAAGATTTGGTTTTACAAAGTATAAAAATATTAATTCTATTATAGGACTTTGAAAATATCTTAAAAAAAGATATAAAGATTTGACTGATTTTGAATTTATCAGCCTTCTTTAAATGATGATGTAATTCTAAAATATTATTTACGATATGAAGGGATTAAGCATTGTTGGTGAGGCAAGCCAGCAAAATTAAGTCCTTTTAAAATGTTTTATGAAACTATATTATAAACGTTGATTTAAAATTTTAATGCTCTTCTAATCTAGTAATAGGGCGAAATTAAAAACATCTAACCTGAAATTAATATTCGGGATTAGTACAACAATTAGTACAATTAGTCATTTAGTATTTTATAATAATTAATATAAAATTAGTATAAGTACAGTGTCAATTTTATCTAGTACATACAAATTTCCTAACCCTGCCAAATAAATGACATTCTTACCATACAAATTACTTGCAGTATATATTAAAATGTTTTGATGGTTAATTATATATATAGAACGAAATTTTGAATTAGATACACAAAAAATTTTTATTATAAAAATTAAGTGGTGTTTATATATTGACGCAACAATATCCATATGGAAAACCATTGAAATAATGTGCTCCTCATTAATTGTCCAAGAATACTAATAAACTCTCAAGGACAAAAGAAAGAATGAAAGAATGAATCCTTTCACAAAGAGAATGTAAAAAAGGAAATGATAATAATAATACTCAAACTAAAGGAAAAAAAAAAACGCGTCTTATAGCACGTGATTGTCAATCATCCAAAATAAATTTAACTTTTTGCACAAGAAATATCTATAATATCCGTCTATTCTTGAATTTTCGTTAGTTTTCTAACAAAAAAAAAACGCGTAAAATCTTAAGTAAGAAAGCATTTCGTACTATCAACAATTCTAAGAATAATAGCGATTATGTTTAATAATAAAATATTTAAATTCATTAGGCGACCAATGTCACATTTCAAGAGTAAAATTGATTCAACGATTGAAGAATATCTTGTGGACGCAGGAAAATATTATGCACAAAAGAAAGGACGACGTGCATCTGTTTTAGAACTTGAGGATTACAAAAAGAATTTTATTGAAAAAGTTAATAGTCATATTAAAGAATTTGAAAAAGAAGTTTGTAAAAAACTTAAAAAAAAAGATTGGGAAAAGGAATTTAACAAACTAGAGAATAAAGAAGATATATCCTCGAAAGACAAATGGATTCGACAAGCAAGATCAAATCATATTGAAGAACTTTACTCTCGTATATGGAAGTCATTAAAGAAGGGTTTTTTATCTAAATATAATAAAGAACCTCAAGAGAAAGATTTTATGGAATTCCCAAAAATTGCTGCCGTTTACTTTTATAGAAAAGTTCTGGGATCAATACGTAAAGAAACTACTATTAAAGAATCAAGACGTGAAGAAAGCTCCAAGAATGCAACGCCTAACGTTATTACGCGTCATGGATTTCACGGTGAAAAATGTCAAAATATTAATTTACTAATTGATCATCATCGTGAACGTGTTAATAATTTGGTAAAAGATAAAATTGGAGCATCTTCTAGTAATCCTCAAAGATCACGTTTAAAGAGCCTTAATCCTTTCCTTCAAATTATAAATCAAGGCGAAACTTCTAAAAAAGCGAAAAGGCTTTCGGAAGGTGGAAATGATAAAGAGAATATTAAAGCAAGGAAGATTAATGAATGATTTATATATATAATATAGATGATATTGCTGATATCAAATTTATAATTGTTAATAAATTTTTTAATAACACGCGTTAAATTTAATAATATAAAAATTTCTTTTAGAATAAGTTAACAAACAAATGAAATTTAATTTAGTCTTATTTTCCTTTACTTTTTTTTTACCAAGCCAATTCTCTAGAATCAGTACCACAACCATCACCCTTTGAAGCTTCACTACCACAACCACCCCCACTTAAACCACCTTCAGGAGCAACAGCAGCCCTAAATAACTTTGAACCATATTTTTGATACATTTCCGTCACACCTCCGGCAGCAATTAATTTTTCTTCCATTAAAGATAATTCAAATTTAAATTCTTTACCACAACAAATTACTTTACGATCTTTTACAACTACTTCAACTTCAGCTCCTTCTTGTGCTAGTGTATAAAATTCTTCATCTTCCACCGTAATACCTAAAAGTGCCATATTTGGCTAAATAAATAAAAATGAATTAAAATTAATAAAAAATACCAATTCAAAAAAAAAAAATATCACATTAATATCGTAATTTACCTGATTCCTACTATAAATATAAGCATAACTTTTAGCAATAACAACTTTAATTCCTGCACCCTTTAAAGCTCTAGGAGCTTCCTCTCTACTACTACCACTTCCAAATCCACTACCACCGACAACAATGTTATAACCATCTTTAATTTTTTGTACAAAATCTGGTTTAACATACTGAAATGCGTGGCTACCCAAGTCCTCATCACTTGTACCAGGCATAAATTGTGCTGGTATAATAGCATCAGTATCTACATTATCTTCAAATCTTTGAACTTTTCCTTTTATACTTGAAGAAAATGATGTTGATGGCGGTAGTAAATCTGATATTGATTCTGATGATAATGATGGGTTTGATGGATCATAAAGAATAGGGTTTGGTTCAGAAATTGTAATAGAAATTTTAGGATCAAACCATTGCCCTAAACATTCATTAAATTTCTTTTCATCAATGGCATCGAGCAAGTCTCTTGGATCGCGAATTTCCATTTCAAATGAAGAGGCTGCTACGGTAGCAGCTGAAGCCAAATTACCAATTGCTCCTTTACCCTTTAAAAGTAAAAAAAGATAAATAAAGAGAATAAAGAAATAAAAGATGATATAGTACAAAAGGTGAAACTCAAAGGTATGCATACCATACGATTTCTAAAGTTACGATTTTGACTACTTAGCCAAACTTCACCTTCACCAGCATGATCAGCAGCAACGGCAATACAATACGAACAACCTGGAGCACCAATTTCAAATCCAGCTTGTTCATAAAACTTCAATAATCCCAGTTTTCTCAATTTAGCAATTATAGGTAAACTACCAGGAGTACATTTTCTTATACCATTAAGAGAAGGTCTTAGCCCTTTCTTTAAACCTTGTTCAAGTACTAAACCAGCTAAAATCAAATCTTCTTCAGCAGTTGTACAAGCACCGATAAATACACCATCCAATTTCTTTCCTGCAACTTTTGTAACTGGTACAACATCATCAGGAGAAGGATATAAAGCGACAAGTGAATCAACTTTTGATAGATCGATAACATGAGTTTCAGCATAATGTGCATCGGGGTCTGCACGGAAATATAAAGCCGAATTTTTATGAGCTGGATTTTTACGTTTTGCAATGAATGCGGCAGTAATCTCATCTCCTTCGAATACACCCGCTATGCCACCAAATTCAGTTGCCATATTTGAAATGGCAAATCTTGCATCACATGAAAGATATCTTAATCCAGGCCCTGTATATTCAACAGCTCTCTCGAAAGCCACAGTGTTACGTTTAAGTTCTCCAAGGACATAAAGAATTGCATCCTTACCACCAATACCAAAAGGTGGTTTATTAATAAATCTAATTTCAACCGTTTCAGGAACTTTAAACCAAGTCTCTCCTGTAACTAGAGGCATAACTACATCTGCAGCTCCTAAGCCCACAGCAAATGCACTAACAGCTCCAGCCGAACAACTATGAGAATCAGCTCCAATAATCATTTGACCCGGTTGAGCTCTTTCACGATAAAATTCTGTATGTAAAATTGTATGATTTGGTTTATAAAAGTCAACAATTTTAGCTTCTTTAGCGAAATTTTCACTTGCTTTAATAAGTCCAGCAGGTTTTGGAAGGTGATTTATTCGAGGATCCACTGTATGATCAATAGCAAGCCAAAATCTATCATTACGATAAATATTTGGCCTTCCCATTATATTAAAGGTTTTTTCCATTCCCTTCCACGTAAGTTCTGAGGCTAATGTCCAATCGACTGAAACGCAAATCATATCTCCAGGTTTAACATGACCGGGTTGTGAAAGACCGATAGCTGCATGAGCGATTGTTTTCTCACAAATAGTCATACCACGTCTACCAGGTGGTTTTTGTAAGAGCAAACCACGATTTGGAATTGATAATGAAATACGATCTTCAGAATTAAGACCTTCCAAGTAACCTTCAAGAACTTCACATACTTTATCACCAACTTCAACAGTAGTTTTATCCCCAGATAAGTCTTTTGTACGATAGCTGAAACCACCAAATTCTTCATCATCCAAAACTTTACGTACAGCATCTTCAACAGCTTTAGCTTCTCTTGGAAGATTTAAAGAATATTTCAACATCAACGCGACACTAAGAATGGTTGCGATAGGATTAACAATTCCTTTTCCTGCTATATCAGGTGCAGATCCATGGATTGGTTCATAAATTCCGATACATTTATTTTTGCCATCAGGAAGTCCATTTAAACTTGCTGAAGGTAATAAACCAAGACTACCAGGAATAATACTTGCTTCATCGCTTAAAATATCACCAAACAAATTTTCCGTAAGCACGATTCCATTTAGAATGGTAGGACTTTTTACCAAAAACATGGCTGCTGCATCAATATAATGATGTTTAAAAGGAACTTTTGGAAATTCTTTTTCTAACGTTTCAGTTACTACACGACGCCAAAGTCTCGAAGTAGCTAAAACATTAGCTTTATCTAAAGAATGTATTGTTGCAATCGGATTTTTTTCTAATGCGAGATGAGCTGCTAAACGGGTTACTCTTTTTACTTCTTCAACCGAATAAGGAAGAGTATCCCAGGCTAAAATAAAAATAAAGTGAAGTTAAAATTATAATATTCCTAAATAACTAATTGAATAACAAAGTAAATCAATCACATGAATAAATACCTTTACCACTTTCATCTTGCTCATGTCTTTCACCAAAATAAATACCACCAACTAACTCACGAACAATAGTAAAATCAGTTCCTTTGACAACACTTTCCTTTAAAGGAGAATAGGCAATCAAAGAATCACTTGCAAATGAACAAGGTCTTAAATTTGCAAATAAATCTAAAGATTTGCGAATATCAAGTAAACCTTGTTCAGGTCTTGGTCCAAGGCCTTTTGATGCATCATTTGAATCAATTTGTTTTGGCCATTGTGGGCCACCAACAGCTCCTAAAAGAATGGCGTCAGCTTCTTTTGCAGCACTTAAAGTAACCTCCGGAAGCGGTTTGCCTAATAAATAATTTTTAAGCACATTTTATAAAATTGGTAATGTCGAATTAAAAAATAAATAAATTTACCTGTAGCATCAATGGCACAGCCGCCGATTTTTTCTTCTTGTAATTCGATTTCTACACCATTGCATTTTTTTCTAATATTTGAAATAGCTTTTAGAACCTTTACACCTTCATTAACAACTTCTGGCCCACAATTGTCGCCAGGTAGAACCAAAACTTTAATTTTACGTGGTGAAGGCATGTTTTATCAGAAAATAAAAGTAAAAAAATGAATTTATATATATATATATTACTTTTATTATTGATGCGACAACATCTAATTGATTATCAATACCTACCCTTTTAAGTGATTTATAATGAGTTTCTATTTTTTTACAAATTAATCAAATATCAGAATTTGGAATAGCATATAGTCTAATTCTCGATACCAAAATGCAAGTACCTATCGAAGCTAATAAGAACGAGGGAAAATTTAACCTAGACTTCGGGTATAGGTTATAAAATTATTCATCACGTGATAAGTACAGTTGCGGTTTAGGATAATATCATGAACCCGGGAACATTTTAAGGATAAAAACAATTTTCACGTCCTGTCACGTGATTCAATTTTTTTAAAAGACTTTAAAGTGGATAATTTCAAATATTTTCGATTTTTGTGTTCTATAATACAACTCTTTAAATCGAATTTCTGAACTAAATTTGCTGCGAACAACAGGAAAAACTAATTATGTCATAGTTTATCACCTCCTTTTTCTGAGTTTTACCCCTGTGCCCCTTCTTTATCATGTGATATAAACTTTTTTTTTGTATTTATATGCTGGAGTTATGGAAAATTTTAGTTTAAAATGTCCAACTTCCAAAATAACTTTAGAAGCTGCGTTTATTTAAGAAAGAAAATCTTTTTCAACACAGTGGCTTAAAAGCCATTTTTTTAATAATAATCTAGCAAACTTTTTTTTGCATGATACCTTGTATAAAATTGTATTATTTGTATTGTACCGTATAAAATGTCTAGCTCAAATGGAACTCCTCAGTTTACTAACAATTTTGTCCGAGAACCAGCTCGAGATCCTTCAGGAGCAGGAAACAATAAGGTAACACGTGATGCTTCAAGGTCAGCGGTAGCAGAAATAAGAAGGTTGTCTAGTATGTCTGGGAAGAAGGATCTTTCAGACTTACAAATTCCAACCATAACGGAAAATGCTGAAGATGTTACTGGTGAGTTTATCAAAAATGTATTAATATTATTGAGTGAAAGTCAAAAAAATCGATATATCTACGTAATTCGTCATCGATGACATTATTTCGTGGAAAACAGTAATTTAGCTCATGATTTATTATAAACTTGGATAATCGATTCAACGATTCAACCAATTTTGGATCGTGATCCACTTTCTTGGTTAGAATAATCTTACATATCAAAATATTACGTGTAAATACAAGAAATAATGTATCATCATCCGAAATTCAATATAGGGTTAAGAGGAAGGATTCGGTTACAAAAAAATGGATGAAAGAAAGAATTCACGTAATTGGATGGATCAGCAACGTAAAAACATACAAGCTTATGAATACTTATGTCACATTGGTGAAGCAAAAGAGTAATAATAATTATTATACTTGTTCTTTAATTGATATAAAATAAAAATTTACTAAAATATTTGTTTATGATTAGATGGATTGAAGCTTGTATAGCAGAAGAAATTGATCCAATTGTATTATTGGAAGAAAGTTTAAGAAATGGGATTGTGTTGGCCAAATTGGCTAAATCATTCGAGCCATCAGTTGTTAGGAAAATATTCATGGTCAATTATCAATTTTATTTAGAAATATATTATAATGTTAAAAATTAAAATGATTTTTGTTAAAAATCTCCTTTTTTCTTGTAGTCACCCAAGTTACAATTTCGGCATTCGGATAACATTAATTTCTTTTTTTTAGCAATTCGAAAAGTTGGTTTGCCTAATGTACGTGAATTTGAACTTATTTATTGTAAAGTATAACTTCATAATTTAATTTAATTTTTTTTTTTAATAGATATTTTGGTTTGAATTAACAGATTTATATGAAAAGAAAAATATTCCAAAAGTAATTTACTGTATACACGCTTTAAGGTATTAAATTAAATAAATTAATTACTTATTTGGTTTTATTTGGTTGATCACGTTATTCATATATTTATTACTTTTTTATGATAGTCATTTATTATCTCGACGTGGGTTAACTCCGCGTATTCGTAATTTAGTAGGAAAATTAGAATTCACCGGTAAATAGTAAAATTTATTTTATTTTATTTGTAAGTGATGTATTAAACTATTTCTATATACTAGATGAACAAATTCATACGACGCAAAGAGGATTGGCTGCATCGGGAATTGTAATGCCAAGTTTCGCTAATGTTGGTATGGCATTGGCAGCAGAACTTAATGAACCAATTTTCGAAACTGGTCAATTACAAGAACCTCAAGAACCTCAAGAACCACAGGAGACTGAAGAAGAACGCAAGTTTTATTTAAATTTTTTTTTTTTTTTACAGTATTAAGAATCTTCATTTAACATCTATGCATTAATAATATATAGGACAAGCGAGATATTGGGAAGATAATAAGAATGTTCTTATAAAATGTCAATCATATGTTAGAACACATTTAGCACGTAAACAATTATTGGATCGTAGAGCATTATATCAATATTCTATGCCATTTATAATTGCTTTACAATCTCAATGTAGAGGTTGGCTGGTGCGCAGAGAATGGAATCAACGATTGGAAGAACTTGAAAAATTAGAAAGATGGTTAAGAAAGGTAAGAAGATTGAAGTACTATTGTGATGTGAATACCATTGCAGATTTATAATCGATCCAACTTTATTTTAGTTACAAAATTTATGTAGAGGAGCATTGGCTAGACAACGATTTAAAGACAAACGAGATTATTTTCAAAAAAATATCGATAAAGTTATTAAAATTCAAAGTTTATACAGAGCTAAACATGCTGGAGATGCTTATCGTAGTTTAAGTAAATTCAAACAATTTTCATTATACCTTTTACATGCACATTACTGTGTCGGATGAAGAGATTGAATTCAAATTCGCTTCAATTTTGTAGCTATGGGAAGTAATCCTCCAGTTGGAACTATAAAGAATTTTATTCATTTGTTAAATGACAGCGATTTCGATTTCGAAGAAGAAATTGGTAATTTAAGAATTTTATATAAGTTATAGCTTTCTTCTCTAAAAATGCGACTAACTTTTTTTTTCTTTTTTTTGATAAACAGAACTTGAAAGACTCAGACAAGCAGTGATTCAAAGAATTCGCGAAAATAATCAATCAGAAGATTTATTAAATCAACTTGATATTAAAATAGCATTACTTGTTAAGAATCGTATAACATTAGATGAAGTAATAGCAGTAGCGAATTCAAAGAAACGTAATCGAAGACTTTCACAGTTGAATTCATCATCAGGACCATTTTCATTAAAATCTTTAGATAAAGGATCGAGAAGACGGCTTGAATTATATCAACAATTATTTTATATATTACAAACACAACCAATGTACTTAGCAAGATTATTTTTTATATTAAATAAATTAGGATTTCCGGAAAAAACTAAAAGATTAGTTGAAGGTGTTGTACTTACATTATTTGGATATGCACAAAATGCTCGAGAAGAATATTTATTACTTAAATTATTTCAAAATTCAATGATGGAAGAATTAGAAAATATAGACTCATTACAAGAATTTTTACGTGGAAATTTTATGTTTGTGAAATTAGTGGTACATTATAATCGTGGGGCAAAGGAAAGAAAATTTTTAAGGGAATTACTTGGACCTTTAGTTAAACAAGTAATTGAAGATGAATATATGGATCTAGAATCCGATCCTTTAATTATTTATAAAGCCTTAATTAATGCGGAAGAATCAAAGACCGGTCAACCTTCTAAACGTCCTATTGATATTACCCAACAAGAAGCCTTAAATGATCCCGAAACTAGAACTGTATTTATCCATCATTTACAACGATTAAGAAAAGAAACCGATAGTTTCTTAACCACTATCGCTAATAATCTTGAGAAAATCCCTTTTGGCATAAGATACATCGCAAGAGAATTGAAAAAATCGTTAATGGCTAAATTTAGTAATGAAAGTGAAGATAATGTTATTAAAGTTGTCGGTCATTTAATTTATTATCGTTATTTAAATCCTGCCATCGTGTAAGTGCTTTATTTTTGATTGCATTATATCAATGATAATTAATACACGGACTTTCAAAATTTAAAAATGGTTTTTTTTTTACTTTTGTAATTTAGCGCCCCTGAAGGATTTGATGTAATCGAAACAATTGTTACTCCAATGCAACGTAAAAATTTAGCAGAAATATCCAAAATGCTTAATCAAATTTCAGTTGGTAAATTATTTACGGAAGAAAACATGTATTTACAACCATTAAATGAATACGTGCAATATGCTTCCGATAAATTCTCAAATTTCTTTAAAGCTGGTAGGTAATAATTAGTAAGATTTTTTATTTCGTCATTCATATATATAATTTAACAAAGTAAGCCTTTTCATTTCTTTATTTATTTAGTTACCGAGATTGAAGATGCGGAAACGTATTTTGGTATCGATGAATTTGATGATCTCACGCGTACAAATAAACCTATAATTTACATTTCACCATATGAAGTATTCTCAATGCATGAACTTCTTTTACAACGCCTAGATTCAATATCTTCACAACCAAATGATTTAATTCGACAGATCCTTCATGATTTAGGTGATGCACCGCCTATTAATGAAAATGACAATTCGGATTCAAATACCAAAGAGATAGCACTTACGTTGGCAAGTAGATTATCATTGGATGCAATGAAAGAACCTGATTCAGAAATCAAACATTTATTTGTTGAAACAAAACGTTATATATTAAGTATAATGAAAGTGCAAAATGGAAAAAATTTATTAGATATTTTGGTTAAACCAGTTACTTTACAAGATGAGCAAGTTTATCAAGAAATTTGTAAAATGGATCAAGAAAAACGTATTAAACACAGTCAAAATTTAAATAATAGTGTGAATATTGCTGGAGGTTTTAATTCAATTTCAAGATCAAATTCTGTTTCAACCACATTAAGTAGTAGTAGTGGTGATCATTTAAATGATATATCTAAAATGAAATTTTTAGATTTAAAGAAACTTACTTTACAAAATATCTTAAAATTAGAGACTGAAAGAAAAGTTACAAAACAAAATAATTATCAAGATTTTCTTAATAGTATCGCCGTTGATATTAGGAATAAACATAGAAGAAGAATTCAAAGACAAAAAGAATTGAGACAATTAAGACAAACTCTTGTGAATTTAGATGAGAAAAGAGCTCATTTAGATGAGCAAATTAAAACTTACAATGACCATATCGATGTTTGTATGCAACAATTATCAACCAAGAAAGGGTGAGCATGGATCTTTTTTTTTTAAAAAAAAAAAATTTGTTTTTTTTAACTTTTGTTTAATGAATTATTTCCTTAAATTTTGATGTATAGCAAAAAATCAAGACTTGTTCTCCCATTTACACGGCAATACTTCCATATAAGGGAACTTCAAAGGTCAGGACGTGTACCACAATTTGGTTCATTTAAATATACAGCACAAAGATTACATGAAAAGGGTGTATTATTATCAATAGCGGGTTATTCAACATTTGATAAAATTAGTTTTACAATTTCCTCTGATGAAGTTGGTATCTTCAAAATAGAAGCAAGTTATATTGGTGTAAATGTACCTGGTGCTAATATGGAATTAAGACTAGAAGATTTATTACAATGTCAATTTAATAATATTCAAGTAATGAGTTTATTTGATGGTATGGCTAAAGTTAATGTTAATTTATTAATTTTCTTAATTAATAAGAAATTCTTTGTATAAATGATAAAAATAATCCTATTTATTTATAAATAAATTAAATTATTCAACAATTATCCTTTTGATTATAGAAAATAATATGAAAAACAATATTCTTACATTAAACCCACAAATATTTACTACTTAATTACTTTACATAATTTTGAAAACTTATTGTAAAAATTTATCTATTTCAAAATTTTTCTTTTTTTTTTCTTTTTTTTATTTATTATTATTATTTGAATTATCATATACTTTGTCTTAAGAATATTAACAAACATATTATAATATACAAATAAATTTAATCAACTTCCATTGGTTCGATATTACTAAGAGCCAATGGTTCTTCAATTTCTTTGGTGAGTTCTCGGAATTTATTGTCGAACTCCCCCTACAATAATGTAATAAAAATATATTATTTAAATTACAAATGGTCATAAAAATATTTATATATATGGAATAATATTTACCTCTAACACTTGTGAATCTATGAAAACTTCAGATTCGTCTTCATTAAAGATACGCGCATTTTGGAACATTAAATGAACGTCATCTCGAAACTGGTCAACGGTTTTGTATTTATCTTTCTCGATTCGAGATTTTATGGTATTAATAGCTATTGGTTTCTTAATTACTGTATAATATTCTGGATATTCTTTCCTACTTGGAAGATCAAGGAAGATTTCCGCCCGTATTCTTGAATTTCTTTTTGAAATATTGAAACAGAGAGGTAATTAACTACAAAATCTTTAACGTTAATTCTTTACGAATCACGTTAAAATATACATACTCATCCTTCAAGTTTTCGATAAGATAGAGGCATTCCTGAAAAATAGGCTTCATTTGCACGATTTTTTCCTTGGAATCAATTACTTTCAAACGACGCTTCTAAAACAAATATTCACATGAATTAATTTGTAAAAAATTTTGCTCGAAAAATCTTTCAAATGCACTCCAATTACTTACATTTGGTTTATTTTCTTGACCATCATAATCGTCAACATTATGCCTTCGTTTTTTGCCTTTCTTAGACACCGGTGAAGTCGAATCCTCAAGTAGATCTTTATTAAGAATATCTTCTTCGTCTTCAGGGAATATTTTAATCCTTTTGATCTTTCTTTTAGATCTGGAAGAAGAAAATACCTCCTGGATATGTTCCTTTTCTTCGGCAGTTAGTTCAACCATTTTACCTTTACCTTTTTTGTGAGAATGTTTAATAGATATAGATGGTGTTGCCATAGGATCTGTGTCAACATCTGCATCATTTTCTGCCTTACGCTTTGCGACCCTCCTAGAAGTACGTATAGTTGATGAAATTGAGGAAGTCTCCGCAACAGATTCAGTTGCCTGAGAATCTTCACCTTTTAGAGATGAACGCTTCTTGGAATTTTCTCTGTTCCTAAGAAGCAGTTTTTGCTTTTCAGCAATAACTCTGTTAAACTCATCTTCATCCATATCTATTATCTATTATAGAATACACAAATAAATTTATAATTAATTATTAAAGGAAAATTTTTGAAAATATAAGAGATATTATATAAACATTTACATTAATAAATTGCTCATCTGTTAAACCATCAGTATAATACACTTCCTTCCTTTGTCTTTGCCCTCTACCATATTCGGTAGCATCATAAGGACGAGTTTCGTATTCTTTTTTATATACTTCGGGCAATTCATTTTCTTGAATTAATCTTGCAGGTAGAGGACCATCTCCAGCAGATTCTTTCCATAGCTTTTCTTCTTCTTTTTGCCTGGTAATGTCAATTTCTTTAAATAGCTCGAGCTCTTTTTCGTTTCGAGAAATAAGTAAATTAATTTCATCGTCGTCTACAACTTCTCGCTCTTCATCTTCAGGATCATTAATCTCTGCGTCACCAGTTTCCAAAAGAGAACGTAGGAAGGCTTCACGTTCTTCAGCAGTACTTTTCTGGTCAAATTTCCCAGCTTGGATAACTTTACCATCAATATCAAGCTTATACTGAGCTCTTGCGAGAATAGTCTCTTCAATCGATTTCTGGCAAATTAGTCGCAAGATTCGAACTTCTTTAGTTTGTCCAATTCTATGAGCACGGTCCTGAGCTTGGAGATCCTGATGAGGATTCCAATCCGAGTCAAATATGATGACTGTATCTGCAGTTTGTAAATTCAATCCCAAACCACCGGCTCTTGTACTGAGCAGGAAGATGAAATGAGGTGAATTGGGATCATTGAATTGTTTAAGAAGAGCCGAGCGATCATCTGCTTTTGTACTTCCATCCAATCGAAGAAATTGATACCCACGCCAATTAAGATAATCTTCCATAATAGTCATAATAGTTGTCATTTGAAAGAAAATCAAGACCTGGTTTAGTTTATAGGATAGGAGTTATAATATAAATAATATAAACGTAAAAAAACACAAAAAAACAAAACACTTGACATTTATTTATAATTTATATACCCTGTGCTTGCTCTGGAAAAATTTGGGTAAAACTCGATCCAAAAATTCGAATTTACCCGAAACACGATATAAGAGATTATTATTATCGCTGTGGAGGTTTATATCCTTTTCAACCTCCTCAAATACGAATGGGTGATTGCAAATCTTGCGGAGTTGCATAATGGTATTATTAAGTCCTTTAATACCTGTTTTTCTATAAGAAAGATAATAAAGTCAATTTTAAAACAATTGAAAAATCAAATAATGAGTTTAAACCACGTACCCCTTCTCGCCTTTATTAACAAAGAGAGCTCCGTGTTTTTTCATTTGATTGTAAAGTTTCACCTGCAGAGCTGACATTTTGACTTTAATAACAGTTTCGATTTTATCAGGAAGTTCGGATTCAACATCCTTTTTCAATCTACGAAGAAGGAAAGGTCGTAAAACCTAAATTGGGTGATTAATATTAATTAGGAATAACTATAAAGTTTTATAATAGTTAGCTGTTTGGATTTAACTTTCATATACCTTATGCAACCGACGGATAATCAATAAAGACTCTTCTTCATTTAATGCGATCTTATCTTGTCCACCTGTGTTTGCGAACGGCGTGTTAAACCATTCATCAAAGCTCTTCACAGAATCAAATATTTTTGGTAAAACAAAGTTTAACAAGGACCACAGTTCTGGCAGATTATTCTAAATATAATGACGACAATTCAAAGATATATAAACGATTAGCAAACATACCAAATAAAATCAAATAAAGAAAACATTACCTGTAATGGCGTCCCAGTCAAGATCAATCGATACCGGAAAGCATAATCATTACTCAAAACAATGGATAACTTAGAGTTGGTGTTCTTCATACGATGCCCTTCATCGATAATAACGTAAAGCCATTTTGGCTTACTCAAGACCGTCTTGTCTTTGATGATAAAATCATACGTCGTCAGACAGACATGGTAATTGCCATGTCTTAAATATCGTTTCTGAATCTCTTTACGCTCAAGAGGTGGGCCTTTGTAAATACATTTATTAACAGAGGGTGCCCATTTATCAAACTCCAAGTTCCAATTAGTTAGAGTTCTATATTTATTATACGATTAAAAAAGTATTTTATGCAATTGAAAATGTATTTGAATTATTTAAGGGTTATTAACTTACGATAATGGCACAATAATCAAGAAAGGACCATGTTGTTGTTTTGTTTCGATGAGGTAAGTGATCAAAGATATTGTCTGAATAGTTTTTCCAAGACCCATTTCATCAGCAAGGATACCATTGAGACGATTATTATATAATGAAACCATCCATTGAAGACCTTTGAGCTGATATTCCTTCAATGTGCCGCCTCCCAACATGACTGGCTGTCGTACTTCCTCTTGTATACGATGTGCGACAGCATAATAATCAATCTTCTTTCCGTCCTATAATTAAAAGGTATTAATGATATTTTAATTAATTTTATAAGCTAATGAATGAATCAATTTCATAAGATTAATTCCTACCGTCGTTTGAATGATATTATCTTCATCAACAGCATTATCAAGTTTATCCGCGACATTATCATTAGGGCGACTGGAAACACTATTATTTGTCGTTGTCCCAGTAACATTGGAATCACCCATTTGGCTAGGTATACAAGCATTTTCATCTAGGTTCTTCTCATTATTACTGGTTGTTATAGTATTCTTTATAGTAGTATCGTTGCTAAGAAGATTGGATATTTTCATAGAATTGTCACTAGAGCGAGTAGTATCAACATTGCTTGCCATTTCATTAGTTCCGTTTGCTGTCTGAATACGATTATCACTTGGTATGCTCGAAGAAGCAACATTGGTTAAGAAACTTTGTTTATTATTGGTCAATGCAACTGTATTATTTGGGCGGTTGATATGAACACCATGTCTTAAAGTAGAATCAAAAGGTATAAATTGCTGAAATTCATTCTGCTGAGCAATAACTGCCTTCGCTAACGACTCAAGATAAACATCTGTTTGTCTTAACAGATGTGTAATACGAGTATCTTTTGCCTCGTCGATAAGTTTCAAGTAGGCCTCTTCATCATTATTTTTTAATGCTGTCAAACGTTCCTTGGAATAGCGATCTGTCTTCCTTTGATATTCTTTCTGAAGGTTCACATGGTAATTAATAATGGCACGACCTAATTTTGTTCTCTTATTCTGCTTGTTCTTATTACGGTTTATCATATCCAAACCATGAGCCAAAATATTATCCAGAAAATCTTGTCGCATTAACTTTTGACTACGGTGTAATCTATCAACGCGTTCTTTCTCCGCTAATTGAGTAGCGTACCAAGTTCGCTTTTCTCGTTTTACTGGTCGTCTACGGTTAATCAAAGATGGGATAGATTCCGGTTTCCTATATGTTAGCGAATATTGTTTTACTTCACGTCGAACCTGGTAAAACATTTTTTTTTAAAAAAAATATATATATATATATTTTTATTTATTTTTATTTTTATCAATGCAAAACAAAAATAATATTATATCATAAGTAAATAAAAAATTTTAATATAAAATATTTGAGTATTAAATTAAAAATTTTATATACCTTCTGCTGTAAATCATATAACTTCAAAGATTTTAAATTTACAATTGCTTGGAACTTTTGACCCGGCTTATCTTTTAATTCTACATTTACTTGACTCCTGAGAGTAGGCGGATTATTTGATAAATTTGATGGCATGCTTTCAAGCTGCCTAATACGATTCTGCTTTTTGGCGCGTAAAGAACGTTTCATTTCTTCAGCTTCGTATTGCATTTTCTCAACGATTTCAGGTGTTGGTATGAAAGGGGAGAATTTTCCTATAGAGTCGCCAAAGAATCCTGTTTCATATAGTCTACGTGAAAATGCAAACTCTCTTTCTTTCTCTGCTTGTGATTTAGATAGCATTCCTAGTTGCATATGGGTTGGTATTTCTTGTTCATTGACTAGCCGGGCAAAAGCGGCTTTTTGATTACGAATTCTTGATAATTGTTCTTTGTTAAACGGAGACATGTTATGATTGACTGCCTTTGAACACTCGCGCAAGTAGTTCTTTGCGTTAGCATATGCTGGGTTTGTTTCTTCAGTGGCCCCAAGAACTTTCATAGTTTTTAGGGTCTATTATATAGTAAATTATTTTTTTTTTTCGTTCATTTTGTATTAATATAAATAATAATATTTTATTTAATATTTTTTTAAGAACATAAATCGACCTTTTAAATTTTTTGAATTTCGCGAATTTTTAAGTCAATAGAATAAAAAAAAAATATGTTCGAAATGATATACAAAAATGAAGCCAAAATAGCTCTGGTTGGATATCTTTGAACACAAACAAAACGCGTATGATAACTACCGGCAAATAAAACTTACCTCAAGTATTTTATCTAGTGTTTCTTCTGACAACTCACCAACACAAAGTTGGACGAGAGCCTGCGAAAGATTAGAGATTGTTTCTTGTGGCTGAGTCATTGATATGACGAAAAGGAAAGGATTGTATTGCCGCTTAATTAAAGTATTGAAAATGATAAATTTTAAGTGATTTTTCGTTGCCAACAGTTTGGAAAGAAAATTTATATGAGATGAAAATTTTCTGAATATCGAAATATTTATTAGGAATAAGTTTCAGTAAATTCAGAAGTTTTATGTCAATCATAAAGTAATCTGCGGATAAGTGATGACGAAGTAACAAATGGCACACCAAAAGTGTTGTGTTACATGTGATCAAAAAATACTGGATTTCTGGATGTCATGCCCAGTTACCGGGTTTACCTCCTCTCTACCAAAAGAGAAATCTTTTTCTTTTATACATTCTTCTTTTTTTTTCTCTTTTTTTTTTTTTTTTTTTACATAAAAAGATACTCTGTGAAGTTTATGACATTCTTGTCACTTGGATGTTATATCACATAATTTTATAATCCAAAAAATGAGTACCGGTTTATTGTTACTAAGGGACATTGTGAAACCGACTGTGATCCTAACATGGAATGAAATTCCTCAAAAAGTAGTACCAAATTTCTTTGTAAGAAATTCACTTGCAATGGAGTTTGCTTATAGTAACTTCTTCAAATCCTCCTTGGTATGCTACAACGAAAAGAACGTTAGCGGTAATTCATTCAAACAAAAAAGTTTATTTAACGAAATTATTTATCGAGACAAATATTAAATTCATTAATTATTTTTCATTACAGATGCCAAGCCAACAAGAACTTTATTAGAAAATGTAAACATAATTTTCTCTTCCGGGACCTTGATTTGGAAATAACCCTACCCCTGTATTTAGCTTAGTTATCAATTAGTTAAAGTAATTAATTTGTTTTTCGAGTTAATAAAAATCAATTCAAAAATTTAACATTGGATTAGAAATTCATATTTTACTATATCAGCTCTTTTTATTCTTGGAGTAGATCCCCTGTATACAATATCGGCTGTGATCATTAAATTTTCCGAACTATTTAGTTGTAAATCATTTCAGCTTAATAAAAGATTCATTTTTTCTAGTAATTGTATTAAAATTAAATACTTGGTTATAAATAATAAGAAAAATAATTTTACATTTACCTATTTATTTATTGTTTTGATTTATAATAATAAATTTTACATTTTTTTTTTTTTATATTTTGATTTTTAAAAATTTCTATATAAAAGAAAAAAAATGTAAAATTTTATTATAAAAATACTTATTAAAATATTCTCTTTCATATTTATCTTTCTATTTTTTTTTTGAATAATTTTAAATAAAATTAGCTTATATATTATATATACATTTTTTAAAATATATTTAATTTATGATCTGTATTGAAATTTGTATAGATTTAATATATCTTGCTTATATAAAATAATATGAATTCAATTAGCATTTAATCTGTTTAAGAAACTTAACCCAAAGATATAATATACTATATTTCTATAAATGCTTAATTTAGTTAGTTTGCTTTATAAATTGGTTAATATTAATAAAATTAATAATTGATTACCTTAAAAATTGCAATAATTTCTGCTATATAAATATATTTACCATTATAAATATAAAAATAAAAATTTACTAATTGTAAATTATACATTTTCAAAATTAAACTTTATAATACTAAATATTTTTTGGCATGCAGTTGTTTATCAGATAAGTTGTTCTTTAATTTATTCTATATCTATCAAAAAAGAATATTAGATCTATAAATTTTTTTTTTACTTTATAATTTTGCAAATTTAAGAAAATATAAGGATAAAATTTTTGTATATAATCACTCATTTTTGAAAAACAGATTTTTATTATTAAATTATTATCATATTAGCTATAATACTATCACAAAAATTTTTAATGTACATTAAATCTCTAATAGGAAAAAAAAAAACAGTTTTAACATTTTTATTTAGTATATTAACTTGTATTAAAAATAAATTATTTTTTTTTTTGAATCCTATTATCTAAAAGTTCTTAAATAAAAATCTTTAAAACACTTATAATATATATTCTTTCTGATTAAATTTACTTATATAAATTAAAAGAAACTATTCTTTTAAATTTATAGTCTAAATAGCTATCTATTTATAAAAATCTATTAAATTTTTTTTTTTTTTAAAAATATCTATTGTTATTTAATTTCAAAAAAACTTTTGATTAAAAAAAAAGATTCTTCTTGAATAATAAAATTAAAATAGAATACAAATTTAAAAAAACTTTTTATATATATTTTTTATAGGATTTTCTAATAACTGAAACTGCTTTTTATATAAAATAAAATACAAATCTTCAAAAAAAAATTTTTTATAAGGTTCTTTCAAATTAAATTTTTCTGAGATTCTTCTTTATTACAAAAATTTATCCCTTTGATTAAATTAAAAAATTTATTACTTTATTAAAAAAATAAATAAATAAATAAATAACTTTTTTTATATAATTTCCTTTTTATATAAATAATTAATATTACTATCTATTATAATAAATTATTGATTTATTTTGATTGAAATTTTTATCACTGAAAAAGATTAATCAATCTAAAATTAGAATACTGATATTTAAGAAACGATCAAGACAATTATCAGCTGATTCAAAAATTTACTTAGTAAATTCATGAATAATACATTTTGAGTATCTTGATTTATTTTTCTAATTTTTATCCGTTTGATCTTAAATTTCACACACTTATCATTCAAATCTTGAACTAATATAATCTAAGTTTTAATGCAATTTTATCATATGCATACGCTTCTACTTTATTCTAAACTTTTGTTACTTTTTCTTTAATAATATCATTACAATAATTATTACTACTCTGATTCTGAAACTTCAAATAATTTTATTATATAGAATTTTTGAAATAGTACTAGAAAAGCTTATAAAAATCATAAATTTTATTTTATTTTTACTTTTTTTTAAAATATAATCTATCTAATTATAGGTTTAGAATATATCATATTCTGAAATGGTTTATCAACAATAGAGTTCTGAAAATAACTCACATAAACTCGCATATTTGACTTACATGATTATGCATAATTATAAATTTTAGTTATACATAATAAATAAATACTTTAAATTAAAGGTATGTTAGATAATTATAATTCAAAACTCAACTCAAATTAATTCATTAGGAACACTAATCAATAAATTTTGAATATTTTTATACAAATATTCTTGACGTACTAACAATAAAGGTTTAGAAGAAAATATAGCTATTAGAGTCCAAATATTGAAATGTTTGTTTTTTAAAATATCAAAACATTAAAATTCTCCTTCTACTTCTTTTTGAGTAAATATTTTTCCTAATTCACTTCTTTTAAACTAAAAATGTCAATATTTTTGAATACTAAATAAATTTTGAAAATGAGATTTTAAAAATGATTCAAAATCATAATATAACCATCCATTTCCATTATTATAGTAAATAGTATGATTAGAATTATTTTTAGTAGATTTTTTTACTATCTTTTAACATTATTTACTATATTAACTTATATGTTTCGAAAAGAGCTTTAGTATTACCAAAATATCTATCTGATAAAAATTTTATGTGTTTCAGAACTATAAAACTAACTTTAATAGTTTTATACATTTCTATTATTGTTAACCAAAACTAAAAAAATAAAGAGAGATTGTTTTTGTTTTAAGCTATACAATTATAACAAGTGACTTTTAAATGCTGTTCTCTTTAATAAAGTCTGTTTAAAGTATTAAATACAAAACTAATAGTTATATTAACTCCTTTTTTTGTAAAACTATTTGGAAATTTATCTTTACCAATTAAATAATTTTAGTTATTGCTTTTCTTTAGTATTACATACTCTAAAAATATGTATCGTAAATGCTATTTTGAAGTAAATTTATTCAACTTGCTATAGTGAAAAAGGAATAAGAACATTCTGTGTTTAATTATAATAAATATGAGCTATTTCTTTAGATATATTGCTAGTTATAATATTATTATTATAATATTGACGCTCCTTTTTTGCTTTATCTTGATAATTTTTCAAATTCAATACTACTTTATTTTTTCATCAATATTTTTTGCATATTGAATATTTTTTTTTAATATTTCACATTTATCACATAAATCTGTATCAAGTATTATAAATTTAATCTATAGTGTGAGATTTTTCCTAAGTCAAACAAAGCTTTTGTATGATATAATTGAAGTATCATTATCTAATTCTTTACTAACTACACAAAATCTTTATATACACTAACATAGCTTTTTTCAGTAGGTAATAAAATAACTGCCAAAGAATCAGTTTGCATATGATGGCCTGGTAAGAGAAATCCATGAAAATTTGCATAATTAATAATAAAATTATAAATTTTAATTAATAATTTTTAATCGATTATAACTTATAATACTATTTTAGAAAGATTTTTTGTATTTTCATGTTGATATCCTATTAATTCTTTAGTTAATAAATAATTTCTAACTGCTCTTAAACTATCTAAAATTTTAACAAGTTTAAGATAAATGTTTTTACATAAAGAAATTTTAGAATTAAAATAATAATCAAAAAATTTTCTATTTTTTTGACTATTAACTATTTTTTTTATTATTAAAAAAAACTAATAATTGACCCATTAAAACAAAATCTAACTGTACTTTTTCTAAACTTTAAAATTTCAAATGTTTTTTAAGAAAAACTTTAAATCTAACTTTTTTAAAACATTTTTCTTTTTTGTTATGACAAATACAAATAGTAGAAGAAAAAAATTGTTGTAAGTCATTAATAACTATATGCATAAGTTTGTTATCTTTATATTATTCTAAAGAAGTATGTTTAACGAAAAGAAAAAAATGTTTCTTTATCATTATAATTATTAAAATTAGACATGATAGAAACAAAAGTTTATTGTATCTGACAAAACAAACAATTTTGAAATTAACTGTCATACTGCATTTTATGCTAAAAATAAATTAAATTCAGGGGGTTAAATAAATAAGGTAATTTTATATTAATCTGTAATTTTCTCAAAAAAGTAAGATTTCTTCAGAGGTACATTTTGCTAGTCCATAACCTATATGATAATCATGAACAGCTAACCTAATATTTTTAGAGTTAATCATTGACCACAGTGATTAATAATCAGCTTATAAATATAATTATTAATCATACAACTATTTTACGTCTAAATTTTTGTTATAAATATTATAAATATTTTCCTTTTGACTGACAATTCTTTTCATAAGTAACAATTTCTATTTCTCTATGTAAAGAAGCCAAATACTTATAATTTGGTCAGCATAAAGATACACTATTACTGTTTGTCTACTATATCAAGCACAGAACTTAAAAAAAAACTCAAAGAAGAGATAAAGCCATTCAAAGATTACGAAAGTAATTACAAATAGCTCACAGAAGGTACTGTAAATCCAAAATAAACTTATTATATTCTGCACAAAACATTACTGAAGATAATTTTAAAAAATGAGTGAATGCTAAATTTAGTAGTTACAATAATAAAATAAGAAATCTTCTAAAGGTTATATATTATGCTGAATATTTGAGTTCAGAAGTTTGGATCTGCAGTATTGAAGATTCATTTGATACCAAATGATCTGCTTGTTTGGCAAAGAAAGATAATAACAAATTTGCTATTAGTATTGCAATGGTAATGCTTACTGGTAAAGTTACTAATAAAAATAAGTATTTGAATAATGATGATAGAATTTGTAAAACGTTACAGTATAAGTTGTATTTACATAAAGAAAAGTAGTTGTTTTTTCTGCATTAAAATTTTATGAGTTATTGTGCTATGATATTATTTATAAATTGGATTTATCTTCT